GCCCAAGAGATGGCGGTGGGTGGTGATGACTAGCTGCCTTCCCTCTAGTCTTACACTGCTAAATTAGGGACGACTAACGCAGATAACCCTCGTGTAGCTTTGCGGGAAATTCAAAAACAAACACACTTTTGGCTGTAAACAAATTTAGAAACTGAGGATTAAAAAGAATAAAATTAATAAACAGATAAAATAACAGAACAGCTCATGAAACTGGTTCGCAAGCCTTTAAAACCGTTTCGTTACTTAAAACGTTATTAATAAAAACTTCTGGAACGACAATAAAACATTACAAAAGAATAAGTAATTTGTGGGGATGAAAAATTTCGATTTCTTTGTTCTTGGTAATAGAGCTTAAGAGTATGGATGATTTTCATTGTCATGGAAACATCTTAGAGTCGTCTAACAGTTCTGACAGGGAATATGAAGAAGATCACAGTCGTCATGGAAACATCTTAGAGTCGTCTAACAGTTCTGACAGGGAATATGAAGAAGATCACAGTCGTCATGGAAACATCTTTGATTCGTCTAATAGTTCTGACAGGGAATATGAAGAAGATCACAGTCGTCATGGAAACATCTTTGATTCGTCTAATAGTTCTGACAGGGAATATGAAGAAGATCACAGTCGTCATGGAAACATCTTTGATTCGTCTAACAGTTCTGACAGGAAATATGAAGAAAATCAAAGTCGTCATGGAAACATCTTTGATTCGTTTCATGCTTGTTTAAGACACGGAGGACAATATCTCTTAATGACTTTACCATCTAATACGAATATAATTGAAATTAAACGTTTCTGAAAATGGAAAATAATTTTTTGATTATTACTTCAAAACAACAATGTGTTTCGTTGAAAAAAGGACTGAAAATGATTGAGGAAAAACTAATGTTTGTGTGATGAAAGATCCGAAATATTCACGCATGCGCGCGCGTGTGCATATGTATGTTAAAAAATATTAAACTGTGAAGATTTTCGTCACTTTGGACAAATATATAGAATTAACCACTAAAAACATGTCCAATTTGTTCTTTGACGTAAGCTAAATATTTTAATTAGTGACGTTATGATGAGTCATATGTTTTCGTAACTTTTTCACATCGGATAATTAACGTATTCGGTCGGCTATCTGCACGAGCGGAAGGTTATTAGAGGTTATAACATTAAAATATTAAATTTGCAGTAGAAATCATGGAATAACGAGTTACACCATATATTATATTTTACACACTTTATACGAATCAAATAGCTTTGATGTAGAATGTTGAAAGGCTAAGCCTCTTCTTATGACATATTTTTCAAACTTTTCTTACAATGATAACAGTCTACCGAACAAGTGGATATAAGCTTAAATTAATTTGTACTTATATATACTTATATAGAAATCTTAGATGCAGAGTTTGGGGAGTTAGGAAAATACATTTGTAAAACACACCTTTCCTTATATTTGTCACACTTTTCTAGTCCCCTAACTTTCAATTGGTTGCGTGTTAGAAATCCTTTTTGTTACTGAAGTAACACATCATACGAAATGTTCTGCTGAATCAAGCCGTACGTAAGAAATGGAAGTTTGATCGTACTCATATTCCACGCTTTAGTGGGTACTCACATGATGAACCTTTCTTATTTTGGCTTACTGGTAAGAGGGTTCGTATATTTTGGAAGGAGCTGAAACAAAAGGTACAAATCGAACGTCTTGTCAAAAAGTGATGAAACAAAACGCAATTTATATATGGATAATATTAGTTCACGCAAAATATTCACTAGTTTGGCATCTGCCATTTGTAATGTTTTTGATGTTCATCTAATCTATGCTATTTTCTTACCTGGTAATATTTCAAGAATTAATAATCGGTGATATGTCATATTGTCCAGTTTGTATAATTTTGACAAGTGGTTTTAAAGTAAAATAAATCATATATAATGTTTCAAAATTGTTTTGTTGTTTTCTCAATCACTCGTTATAAAGTAAAATACTTTGAAAGTTGTGTAGCTTATGTTTTTAGTTAAAGTTACTGAAATATCGATCCAACGTCTTTTCAGAAGTATTGTACAGCATTGTCTTGTCTTTGTTAACTTATATTAATTTTATATATATATTTATAAAGCATTCCGTGATTTTTATGTACCGTGAGCCTTTCACCAAATCACATTGGATATTTTCCCTTAAATTCTAACTTCACCTCAACCATCACTATAGTTATAACGTCATTGTAACTTAATGATGACATTCGGGTGCTTACTTAGCTCCCCCAGTGGTAATTCTGAAAGCTTATATCACTCAAAACCTTTTTTCATTACTCGTGGTTGGCACAGCAGAGATAGCCCATTGTGTAGCTCTATACTTAATAACAAACAGTGATAGATTATCCAGCTCGTCATTAACAAACAGTGATAGATTATCCAGCTCGTCATTAACAAACAGTGATAGATTATCCAGCTCGTCATTAACAAACAGTGATAGATTATCCAGCTCGTCATTAACAAACAGTGATAGATTATCCAGCTCGTCATTAACAAACAGTGATAGATTATCCAGCTCGTCATTCTCAAGCATTTCATTATATTTCCAACCGTACACGCATACCTTGATGTCACAATTTCTTTCATTATCTTACTACCATTTTTTATGTCTGGATATAATACTGAATAAAACTGACAGAACTTATGACAAAAAAAAAAGATTTAGAGCAAAGACATTACAACTTTTTAAATTAAAAAGCTAGTTTCTTTCATTATCTTACTACCATTTTTTATGTCCGGATATAATACTGAATAAAACTGACAGAACTTATGACAAAAAAAAAGATTTAGAGCAAAGACATTACAACTTTTTAAATTAAAAAGCTTGTTTCAGGACAAAATACATCGCTAATGAAAAATGTAGTAGAATTAACATTTTTATTTAGATAAATCTCAGTTGATATACATATTCTTTGCCTTTCTCTTTATAGGGTGTATCTTGTTATTTATGGTGACTTTAGTTATATTTTTGTTACTAATTTCTGGCATCGCTCAAACTTTAATTTCACTGTCATGATAAATAACATGTTACAATTTGTATTCTTAGGAATACTTCACTTGTTTCACTGTCATGATAAATAAGATGTTACAATCTGTATTCTCAGGAGTACTTCATTTGTTTCACTGTCATGATAAATAACATGTTACAATCTGTATTCTTAGGAATGCTTCACTTGTTTAACTGTCATGATAAATAACATGTTACAATCTGTATTCTCAGGAGTACTTTATTTGTTTCACTATCATGATAAATATCATGTTACAATCTGTATTCTCAGGAGTACTTTATTTGTTTCACTGTCATAATAAATAACATGTTACAATCTGTATTCTTAGGAATACTTCATTTGTTTCACTGTCATGATAAATAACATGTTACAATCTGTATTCTTAGGAATACTTCATTTGTTTCACTGTCATAATAAATAACATGTTACAATCTATATTCTCAGGAGTACTTTATTTGTTTCACTGTCATGATAAATAACATGTTACAATCTGTATTCTTAGGAATGCTTCACTTGTTTAACTGTCATGATAAATAACATGTTACAATCTGTGTTCTTAGGAATACTTCATTTGTTTCACTATCATGATAAATATCATGTTACAATCTGTATTCTCAGGAGTACTTTATTTGTTTCACTGTCATGATAAATAACATGTTACAATCTGTATTCTCAGGAGTACTTCATTTGTTTCACTGTCATGATAAATAACATGTTACAATCTGTATTCACAGGAGTACTTCATTTGGTTCACTGTCATGATAAATATCATGTTACAATCTGTATTCACAGGAGTACTTCATTTGTTTCACTGTCATGATAAATAACATGTTACAATCTGTATTCTCAGGAGTACTTTATTTGTTTCACTGTCATGATAAATAACATGTTACAATCTGTATTCTTAGGAATACTTCATTTGTTTCACTGTCATAATAAATAACATGTTACAATCTGCATTCTTAGGAATACTTCATTTGGAAAATATTGAACTTGACTAGAAGCAAAAACGTTCTTTTATCAAGATAGTTGATTTTTTCCATCTAAAATAGTGTAACAGTCCGAACGATTCCAACGCTTTGATACTTCTAGTTTTCACCGCCAGGCTGTAAAGTTTAGTAACCTTCATCTCGAGCTGGAGCCTAATGCTTGAAATCGTGTTTGTGCTGCTGAAGACTGAATACCTCCTTGCATTCTGTGGGTCGCAGGTTCGAATTACGTCACCCACGTGCTCACCTTTTCAGCTGTGGGAGTGTTATAATGTGATGGTCAACCCCACTTTTCATTGATAAAAGAGTTGGCGGTAGGTGGTGTTGACTAGCTGCCTTCCTCTAGTTTAATGCTTCAGAATTAGGGGAAAGCTAGCGCAGATAGTTCTTGTGTAGCTTTCTGCGAAATTCGAAACAAAGAAAGGTAGTTGCGATTGTCAGAAAAAGTAACACAATTAACAAGCCAACACATCTATACTGTCTTCAACACGTCATAACTATTGTTTCACAGCAAATAATATCAAATTCATACATTAGATTTACTGTTATATTTTATTATTTTGCAGTGTAATACTTAAAACTTACTTGAAGTTGTTTTTATTTTTCAGGTACGATATTTTTCGGTGTATAAGACGTACCTTTTTACCCCAAAATTTGATGTCAAAATCTTCTTGCGTCCTATACACCGAAGGTATGAATAATATATAGTTTGAACAGATTTCAAGCCATGTGTAAATATATTTAAATAGGCATGCATAGTTTAGTTCAGTTGAATGTGTTATTTATAGCAATAGTATAACTATTTATAATGCTCCCTAAATAATAAAAAAAAAAATTACAGTAAAAGCAATGAAAATTTTGTAGGTTTTGAACCAAACTAAATAACAGTACCCTTTTTTGATTTACTGTATTTTCTTATTTTGATGTTTTGAGCTCTTTTGTGTTTAGAACAATCTATCCAAATTTTTTAAGTATTAAATTGAATTTTTGTTCAATAAAAGTCTTTCAAATGCGACTGTAGCTTTTTTTTCCCAAAAATTTGTCTCCAAAATAAGGGTGCGTCTTATATTCTGAAAAATACGGTATTTATTTGTTGAAAACTGTTTATTTATTATTGACGGATATATATAAGAAACAGCTGGATTGAAATAATTACATGGTATATTTCTTTGTAACTGAAGTCGATACGATTTAAAACCTCTAAATTTGAATCAGATGGCCCTGAAAACAAGGAGGCAAATAACTGAATAATATAATAAACAGTTTCGAAATAAAAGAAAACCAGCGAATTCGATGTAGATTTTAAATTTTCATTTTTCAACAAAGCTAGAAAATCTGTCCCTTTATCCTACGGGAACCACGTGATTTTGATTGCCTTGACAATTCATAACCTAACGTGTTTTAGAGGAACCTTTATTGAAATTACAGGTTTCGAAAAATATAAGTAACTACAACTCTTACATCAGTCCATGTTGTGTTTCTGTCAAAATATTTTAAATATTATCATTGAGACGTGATTCCTAAATTATAAATATAGTTTAAATATCAAACATTCACTTCTATGTTTTAGTTCGGAATATTTCTTCATTCCTTGGAGGTTAAGCATCCTAAGATAAAAGAAAAAATTACATACATACGTGATATTTATAATTTTTGCCGTGTCCCGATGGTAGAGCGGCAAGTTTACGGACTTACAATGCTAAAATCCGGGGTTCGGTTCCCCGCGGTAAACACAGCAGATAGCCCCTTGTATCTTTGCTCTAAAACAAACAAAATATTTCTCGCCATTTGAACTGGGAAAAGTTTGATCACGGATATCAACTGAAATATCATAATCCTTATGTTTATGATTGTGAAAATGGTTGTCTGTTGAACCACAAATCTGGCTGGCAACCAACTGAAATATCATAATCCTTATGTTTATGATCGTGAAAATGGTTGTCTGTTGAACCACAAATCTGGCTGGCAACCAACTGAAATATCATAATCCTTATGTTTATGATCGTGAAAATGGTTGTCTGTTGAACCACAAATCTGGCTGGCAACTTTCGTTTTATTATTGAAGTTCATTTTCAAAACACGACAACCATATGTTATCTTTGACATTAAACTTAGTTAAAAATTAAAAATAGGAAACAAAGTTAATTATGTCTATGTTTGCAGAGCCTTGAGTATTTCTTCATGTAAAGAAGATTTAAAATCGAATTTTTAAAGATATATTGCCATTTACAGAGGATTTTATAGTAACATTATTCATAGAACATATAATAAGTTTTGTGACAGATTAAAACTTTCACAGGTTATCAAGGCTGATAATAAGAATGTTTGTCTGCCATACGTTCAAACGTAATGTATTTAAAAAATATATTAACTGTCGTGTAATGTTTCACCTCTGGTTATACTTAATAGGGTTAGTCTTAAAAATGAAATAAAATTAATAGATAAATTGTCATTGACAAAATCCCTAGTAACTGTGATTTAACTGATATTGGCTAAACATGTATAAATTTAAAATGTTAGACTTATAGAACACAACTCAGCTATAGAGAAACGAAAAATAAACGAATCGGCTTTGGCTATCAATCCTTGTTTCCATAGTGTTAATTGGAATAATAACAAATTGATTAAATATATTAATAACAAATATGAACTAAATGTAATAGAATCGCTAGTTCCATGTTTAAGATTTTTAGTTTAATTCTAAATGGAGATGTGAGTCTAGGAATTGCAGAAATTCATAGGTGGCAGCACCACCTTTGTTAAATGATTGATCAATGTGTTTATATTATGCAAAATAATAAGATAAATATATCTGAATATGCTTTTTTTATCAGTTCTGTTTTCCTTCCTGATGACGATGGGTCTATGACCAACCGAAACATTTAGATGTTTATATAAAAGTCTGATGCCTTA